CCTCTGAGTTCTCTGACTCTTATCTTGCCTGGGTTTGTTGTCTAGTTTTTTTTGTCTGTTCTACTTAGTATGACTGGTTTAATTCCATTCTGTAATTAATACACAGGTATTCTTAAGTGTTGAAATTAACTGAAATGTGACCCCTGTTAAACATAAGAGTGGCAATAAGAGAGGGAAGAGATGTATAATTTGTGACATGCTCTGGCTGACTTGCCCCTTATGGTAGCGTTAGAAACATACCAGGGTATTCCAATTCAATCCCATCAAGGTGGCATGTACCAATGCCATCTCACTACTCCAAGTGATCAATTTCAGTTCCCAATTGATCATAATGAAAGGACTAAGAGTCAAAGGGAGCACATAAGCAAGTCTAGTACTGCTAACACTAACCGATAGAATAAATAAAGGGGAGAGTGATCCAACATGGGAAGTGAGATACTCAGCAGACTCATAGAATGGCAGATGTCCTAAATAGCACTCTGGCCTCAGAATCAGCCCTAAAGGCATTCCGATCTGGCTGAAAAGCCCATGAGAGTATTTCAGGCATGGAAAGCCAAGACACTCTGGCAAAAGATCTCTGTGAGTGAGATCCCAGTGGAAAGAACAGGTCTTCAAAGAAGGAGGTACCTTTCTCTGAAGGGAGGAGAGAACCTCCACTTTGACTATGACCTTGTCTAAACAAGATAAGAATCGGAGAACTCAGAGGGCTTCCATAGCCTTGGAAACTCATGACTGGAGCATAGGGAGACTACTGATGCCATAGACAGGAGTGTCAATTGGTGAAGTCAACAACAGGAGTCACTGTGCACTTACTCCTCATGTAGGATCTCTGTCCTTAATGTGCTGTGCATTGAGATTTAATGCTATAACGAGTACTCAAACAATATATTTCACTTTGTGTTTCTATGGGGGTGCAAACTGTTGAAATCTTTACTTAATGCATACTGATCCTCTGTAAAAAAAAAAAAAAAAAGAAAAGAAAAGAACAGAAACTATCAACTCCCAACTTGACTCTCACTGGGATTAAACATGACAATAGGTCTGATCTGATTTCATCATCATTAAAAAAAATCATCTATTATTTTTCACTTTATGTTTCTGTGTGGGAGCGAACTGTTGAAATCCTTACTTAATGTATACTAAGCTGATCTTCTGTATATTAAGATAATCGAAAATGAATCTTGATGTGAATGGAAGGGGAGAGGGAGTGGGAAAGGGGAGGGTTGTGGGTAGGAGGGACGGTATGGGGGGGAAGCCATTGTAATCCATTATTCGTACTTTGGAAACTTATATTCATTAAATAAAAAAAATAAATAAAAAATGCTCCCAGTTAAAAAAAAAATGTGTTCATTTATTTGAAACACAGAGTGACAGAGAGAAGGTAAAGGTACAGATCTTTCATCCTCTGCTTCACTCCCCAAAGGGCTACAATGACTAGGACTGGGCCATGTCCAGGCCAAGGAGCCAGGAACTCCATCCATGTCTCCCACATGGGTGGCAGAGGCCCAAGCACTTGGGCCATCCTCTGCTGCTTTCCTAGGCAGCTGGATTGGAAGCAGAGCAAGAGAGACTTGGACCAGCACTCCAATATGTGATGCCAGCGTCTCAAACGGCAGCTTAACCCATTATGCCACTATGCCGGCCCAGAGCAGCCTTTATAACTGATCTGAGCTGTGTCATAAGCCAGGTGCTCAGCCATGGAGGACACTGCCTTAGAAACAGAAAAAGGGCTTTTGGTGTGGTGGTAACTTTTGATTTCTTGATTGTGTGCAGTTTGTGGAAAATGCACTGATAGACCTCTCCATGTGTGGTTTCTCTGTGGGTATTACATTCCAGTTACACCTAAAAATTAATAGAATTCTTGAAGACAAATTTTAACTGTATAGATAGATACACTTGGTTGATTGTCGTGGTTTTGACAAATCATCTTACCCTTTCAGCCAAGCCAAAGCCATGTACTCCTGCAAAGCTGAGCACAGCCATGAGCTCTCCTTCCCCCAAGGGGCGATATTTTCTAACGGTAAGTCTGTCTATTTCGAGAACTTGCGTTTGTCTTCGTGAAGGAATGCTATAGTGGTAAAGAACTGAAAGTGGCGGCCGTGAGGCCCGAACTCAATGCTAGACCCTGCCCCTTATAACCTGCATTAGTGAACGTGTATGACCCCTCTGGACTCAGCGCATTCACTCCTCTGTGGATGCACACGTTTGTGTGCATATGTGTACACCGGCACCTACTTGCATGTGTGAGAAAGAGATTGCTTTATTGATTATGTGGGCGCAAAAGCCATTCCAACTTTAAAGGGTTGTGATTTTTTGTTCTGAAAATTTGCACATACATTCAAGGTTCATATTGATAAATAACGACTTGGTCTTGCCATTTTTCCATAAATATTCCTATTGTTTGCTTCGGATTTCCTTTCTACTTTTGCTAGATTTTTCTGCCTTCACATCATTTTATAATGACATACTGGGATATCTTGTGATACGATTATTGTTTTTTTTTTAAGATATTTACTTGTTTATTTATTTGAAAGTCAGAGTTACACAGAGAGAGAAGGAGAGGCAGAGAGAGAAAGAAAGAGAGAGGTCTTCCATCTGCTGGTTCACTCCCCAGTTGGCTGCAACGGCCAGAGCTGTGCCGATCCAAAGCCAGGAGCTTTTTTTGGGGGGGTTTTCCACATGGGTGCCAGGGCCCAAGGACTTGAGCTATCTCCTACTGCTTTCCCAGGCCATAGTGGGGAGCTGGATCATAAGTGGAGTGGCCAGGACTTGAACCTGTGCCCATAGGGTTGCCAGCACTGCAGGCGGAGGCTTTACCTGCCATGCCACAGTGCGCCAGCCCGAAGATTGTTGTTTTTAGCCCTTGTTTATACTCCTTTGGAACTGTGGTCTTCCTATTTTTTACTTGTTCAATATTAAGATTAGTGGTGAATGAAGCCTGTGATTACAAAGGGAATTGAAATTATGTCTTTGTAAAAATTAAAAAAAGAAAGGAGGTATGGATTGAAGGAAGGGCAGTGAGAAGGAGGGAAATATGGTTGTCTTCTTGGAACTATACCTATGAAATACGTGAGATCTGTTCTGTTTATATTAATAAAAATTTTTTTTAAATTACCTTCTCTTCCACAGTAAAATGATAAAGATACTTTTTAAAATGGCAGCTTAGTTAAGAGAAGGCTAATTATAGTATTTAATGTCAAAACAGGAACACCCCTGGGATGGGGGAAAACAGATACTTCTAGAATTGCTACTCTGGAGACTAGAACTAGAGATCAGAGGATGGATGGGAAGGAAAACCTTAACTTTCGACTTTCCTAGATGGTTTGAAATTTTTTGGATGTGTACATGTTATTTTTTTCCCTTTTTAAATAAAACTGCTTTATTGAGACAAAAATCTGTACTGATGCAATCTGAATTGGATTTTTAACTCATTTGTTTATGTAACTATTGGAATCTAGTGGTGATTGAGTGATATTTATTTCTCTATTTATTTTGCCAGTGTACCCATCAGTGGAACCCGGATGGTTAAAGGCAACTTATGAAGGCAAAACAGGACTAGTCCCAGAAAATTATGTTGTCTTCCTCTAATGCTGTTTAGTGGATGGCAGTATCTTCATGGTATCCATGGTGACAAATAAGAAGTGCGATGATTTTATCTGACACAGATATGGGGATCAGCCCACTCAATGAAAACAGTCCATTTCTATCAAGTTCTTCACCTGCAGACTATGTAGCTCCATATTAATGGAAAAAGAAAATAAGAAAGTATAAACTATTTACCATTCTTTCTTGGCTGGTTTCTTATTTTAAAAATATTACTTTAAAAAAAACGGTAAGTCACTCTCTACAATGTCTCTTCCATAGTAACTGTGGAATCTCAAATACCATGTTAAAATATTATATCCCCAAAATTTGAAAACCAGAAACCTGCTATATGGATTTTGAGATGCGTCTTTTACTGTCGGGCATTCTCTGAGCAACCTTGAACTCATTACTTAAAAATGTAATTTAAATTGTTCATTTTATTATTTTTTTCTTAAAAATATACTGCTTTTATATGTGATTGTTTTGCTGGTCCTAAACATTTCAAGGAAATAAGTCTTCGTTCTAACATAATTTTATTTTGTTTCCTAAATAGATGATAATATTCAGAAGCAATAATGTATATGATGTCTGTAAAGAAAGCCAACTTAAGTCATACACTGATTCCACTGTAAACAGTCCATCCAGCATTGCAGATAGCTTCCATGGGTGTAGAGGAGGGATCAGCAAACTGTTTCTGTTAAAGACTATTAGTAGAAGGGTTTGTGGTGGGCTCGATTTGGCTTGTGGGTCATAGTTTGCTGACCCTTAGTTTAGAGAATGTGTGAAATTGTTCTTTATAACTTTGGGATTTTATAAAATTTTACTGCATTAACATATAAATACTGATAAGTCATACACATATACTCTCTGCTAGTAGCAGAATAGTGGCATCACAAAAGTATAGCTATAATAATGGATAAACTGTAAAAGCACAGTACAAAGGCATACTACTTAAATTCCACTTGTAACACTCTAAAGTGTCAAAATATTGTAATGGTACCCAGCATTGGCTTTGGGGACACTGTTTTACAAATGATAAAGATGTTTGATGATACTAGTAGGGAAGCTATGCCTCAAAGTCTATGTTTAGTTGAAACAGAAAATAAACAAAAAGACACAGGACTCTTCAATCATATTGAGTCACAAAATTTGAAATTGTGTCATCATCTTTAACAGTAATAAAATCTGTATGTGATTTTCTTTTATGCCAATAAGTGTAACATCCTTTATTAGGATTTTTTTCTGGATTTATAGAGAACAAAAATTTATGTTTACTACCCATCAACATTTGGTCATGCAGCAATTGTTTCTATAATTTCTATTTCAACAATTCTAATATATTATTTCTATAAATATCTATATGTGGCAAAAAAAAAAAAGAAACAAAAAAGAAACTTTCTTAGGATTCCAAAAAGTGGTTATTTACCATGTGGCTGCCTACTCGGCCTTGATATCTTACTTGATATTTCAGACTTTCCCCTATATAGACACTCAGGTATTAACTTTTTAAATCTCTTTTTTACATGATATTGTAATCTGTAGCCTCAATCTCTTTCATGTTCAATTAATACTACTAGAACTAATAGGCTAAACACATACACATACAAACCATGTCTCAGTATTTATGCTTTTAAAAAGAAAAGTAATAAAAATAGCCAGAATTAGGATTAACCAGTGAAGAGCATAGTAGTGAACAGAGTCACAGCCGGGAAAATGTATCAGTGAATCAAAATAATGAAAAACATTCTAACAGCATAAAAATTGGTGATGTAGTGGAAAGATCTGATGAAAGTGTATCTTGTTCTTTTCCCTCTTGCTGTTGACTCTGTTCACTATAATAAGGTGCCGGAGCTTCTTGGCCAAAGTCCTTGGTGGCCATTAGTAGTATTGACAGCATTGCCAGTCTAATTACCTTCTGCGGGAACAGAAGGTAGCCTTTCCAGTGTACCAGCCCTTAGTGGCTAGGGCACCCACGTTTTAAGCACTCTTGCCATTACCTGGCATTCTGCTGGATTAGAACCTCTCCAGGCAAATTGGCTTTCTTTCAAAGACCAACTTGACTCCAAAGAGAGATTCAGAATCCTACTTCACTTGCTGCTGCATAAAGAAATCTCAGCCTTCATTTTACTTTAACACAGACCAGAGTGTCCCTATTAGCTAGTAACACTGATGCTCAATGAGAAACAAAAGCCGTTGCTTCTAGAACATGGCTGTGTCATCCAGCTCTCCTTCTAATGATGATACTTGCTTTGTGGCAGTCCCTACAGTGATCCCTTTCCTGAAGCAAGCAACAAATGTGTTGGTTCAAGTTATGCATTTGTTTGAAGTTTTCATCTTGCAGATTTGTGAGGAGGGTTCTTTTTCTTCATATGGATTACGTATGTAAGCAAGACCTGGCTACATACTGGAGACAGGCTATAGCTGCTTGTCTTTTGTTGTTAAGTTTCCTACAGATAAGGTATTTTGAGCATGGAGAAAATCATGGAAATTAAACACCTGGAGTATTAATTATACAGGAAAACAAAGCTACTCATTGGAATAGGACCACTTTCAGAATTGTAATAGTATTGTAATAACAGAATTTGAGCTTTTCAGAGACAATGTGAAGATATGTTAGAATTGCCAAATCCATTACGTTGGAGCATGCAACAAGTGTACCCTGATCACAGTTTAGGATATAATCAGTGTGAGGATGACATTGAGAGGCCTAATCAAGGATCTCGCGTGTTACATGACAACATCCCTGAGAATAAACTTTTATGAGTTTCACAGATGACTTTTTTATTGTTCCATAACACCACCAAAATTATAGAAGCTTTTCAGTCAACTGACGGATTTTTCTGTTGTGTTCTGTGTTCATGTCTGAAAAGTAATGTTCCTCTAAACGTCTATGAAGTATGGAGAAGTGCTGTTTCTCCTTGTTTGATGTGAATGGTTTCGCTTGTTTGTTGCATTGGTTCTCTGTGCTTTGTAATGTACAGGAGCATAACAAGGCTTCTCAACACTGGCTCCTTTGCTGACTCTTTCAGGAATGGTGGGGGAAAAATGTACTTAACAATCCTTCAGTTCCAAACTATCCCAGTTCCCAAATAGGAAAAAATAAAGAGATGCAACAACTTTCATTTTATTCTTATTCCATGGTAACGAGCCTTATATGTTATGATTTGCCTTTTAAAGATCCACCATGTTGTGAAGAAAACAAATCTTTTACCAAACTCCTACAAAGATGGCGCCACCTCCTTACTGGTAGTTTTATTCCTCAGGTCAGTCTGCATCAAAAAGGATATCATTCACCTGGAGGTACTTGAGAGTCCCTCACAGCCTTGCCTTAAACAACTTCAATTTGTAGAACAAGTTGAAAAATCCTTTGTCTAAAATTCTGGGGACCAGAAGTATGTGGATTTCAGATTTGGGAAATTTTTTAAATACATGAGTTCTCTTAGGAATGGAACGCAAGTCACATACTCCTGATACACAAAGCCTGAGGGTAATTTTATACAATGGGTTTAATAGTTTTTCTAGAATTTTCCATGATGCTGTCATGTTGGTGCTCAAAAATATTTTAAGATTTCAGGTTTTTAGATTACGGATACTCAACATGTAATACCCTCAGTTATGTATGAAGGATGTTTTAATTAGCATTTAGAGCCCCAATCTGATTCAGACTTCCCTGACTCAAATCAGAGGAAGACAATTTGGGAAGAGATTTTTATCTTTGGTTTTAAAATACCTAGGTAAACTGTAAATGTTACTATGACCTCACATCACTGAGCAGACACCTAATCATATCTCCTGATAGAGAAAAAGGCAGAAGCTTGCCTATTGTCTAGAAGTTCTTTTCCTCTTGACTAAAGGTCTCCCCCTTAGGTAGAAATTGTTATTTAATTTTGCCTCCTACACAATATCAGAACACTTAAAAATTAAGTTAGTTTTTCTGAACTGTCTAGATTTTGCCTGTCTCCTACCACTCACGAATTTAATATCAGGTATTTATCACTAGTCTCAATTTCCTGAACACATTAAGTGTATCCATCCATTGCAACCATAATGTGCAGGTTCTGCCAGCAGTAACCCTGGGAGAACTCAGGCTTATGAATGAAGTGAACTTTTACAGGATTAGATCAATGGCAAAGATTTTGCATTTTTTGTAGTCTAGTTACTATTTTAAATAACCTCGCGTGAGAATGATGACAGCACCTACAATAAGCCACTGGCAGAAAAAATGATCTTCATGTCTTAACAACCAGTGCTTAGAAACTGAACATGGGTTTGGGAATTTGGCAGGTCATCACTTCTGTCACTCGGAGAGGACAAGTTCCAGTGAGCTGAACACTGACTGTGTAGGGAGAAGAGTCTATATGAAAAGTTTCACAAGGCGGGGACCATTTTGAATTATTACAAACATAAATTTTCTCTACTATTCAAGATGCTCAAGTCCCTATTTGAAGCACCTAAATATTGGAGGGGAATGAGGTTGAATATGCTAAGACCACATCAATGAGATAACCACCTTCTCCCCTTTGTACCACCTGTTATTTCTTGCTGCCTATGGTATTTCTGCTTCCATGGCTAAGAAGAGCTCAATGCCACCTTGAATCACTTTTACATTAAAAGTGTATGTTGTTCTATCTCTGACAGCAGACGAGGTTTTTGTCTGCCAAAATATACTCAGCCACCTCCTTTTTGCAGAGAATGATACCCACTAGAACTAAGCTAAGAACACTGGCGTCACATGATTGATGCTTAAAATCCAAGGGATCGCCACATGGTCAAAGCTGGGATTTCAAGAACTCTGAGCCAAAACGTTTACAAATAGGGAACTGGATGGGAAAGATGTCTGAGTTTTAAATTCAGAATGCTATTTATATACTGGTAAATTTTAAGATACTATAGTTTCTATAAAAGTTGGATACTTAGATATACTGCAATACTAGAAACTTCTTTGCAGCCACTAACATGACAAATTAAGTATGATAAATATGAAAATGATTGTCAGTAAATTATCATATTGAATTTTTTGTTTATTTTGTAGTGTTTCTGTATTTGCACTTTTTGTATATATATATATATTCACACACATGCATATGTAAATAATCTCATGTTATTCCTTATCTGAATTGCCACAATAATGTATGTTTGCACTGTGTTTTGAATTACTTTAAAATAAACTGTATAAGCATGTTTGAATATAGTATTTCTGTTGAAGACCTACTGTGTTGGAGGATGGCTATCTTGGTTTCAAAGAAAGGAAAACCAAGGTTTCCAGTACTGCGAACAATCATTTGGGGTATAGCTAGGTAGAAAATCATGGCAGAATATGGTGACCTTTTCATAACTGTTTGGTATTAAGAAAGATCAGGAAAATGTTACTGGTGATCCCTGTTAATAACGCAAGTCTCTATAGAAGAGAGAGGTAAATGGGACATAAGCAAAATATCAACTATAATGGGCACACAGACTTACCTGAAAAAATAATGCATCTTTGCAAAAGTTTACATATGTGCTATGGAATGAGAATCCACATTCAAATACTTATATTTTACTAGTTTTATGACCCTCTTAATCATTAATTGATGTCAAGTTAAAATTGTGTTTTTCTGCACCAAAGAAGGTGGATTGTGTATTTATTTTGTATTGCTGAATGGATTGTTAGCTTGAGCAAATCAGGCCACCAAAACTAAACCTGACATGTTGAGCAATATACATACGACCTGATTTTATCAAGTGAATTATAATTCTTGGCACCATCAGAGAAGAGGCAATAAATTTATGCTATAATGCCTATAGACAAAATGACTAATGCTACTCAATTCTAGTATGATTAAGCTAGAAAGGGCTGTTAGTGTAGGTATTAGAGATCATTGTAGTTGAGTTACTGTTTAAGAATGTTGAATTAAAAGGAATTGGCCTACCTGGAACCCCTCATAGCTGATATTTTACAAGTAATGAAGATTGGTTCCCAATGACCAAAGCTGGAATGACTAGAGAACCAAAATACATAATATAGTGTCAAATGATTTATAATCCAAAGTATAATATGAATATATATATGTAACTTCACAGTGATATAAGTAAATAACAATAAATTTCATTTATATAAAATAAAGGGGAGTTGGGATGAATCTTCTTTAGAAAAATATTCTAGGGGCCTGTGTTGTGGCACAGTGGGTTAACACCCTGGCCTGAAGCACCGGCATCCCATATGGGTGCCACTTCTACTCCCAGCTGCTCCTCTTCCCATCCAGCTTTCTGCTATGGCCTGGGATAGCAGTAGAAGATGGCCCAAGTCCTTGGGCCCCTGCACCCATGTGGGAGACCCAGAGGAAGCTCCTGGTTCCTGGCTTTGTATTGGTGTTGTGGCCATCTGGGGAGTGAACCAGCGGATGAAGACTTCTCTCTCTGTCTCTACCTCTCTGTAACTTTTTCAAATAAATAAAATAAATCTTTAAAAAAAGAAAATTAATAATTGGAATTGTAGTTACCCTTTCCTTTAAGAGGTAGGGTTTAAGCCTCCCCTCTTAAGGATGAACTAGAATTAGTACTCATTTTAAAAATGTAGAGTGGCCGGCGCCGCGGCTCACTAGGCTAATCCTCCGCCTAGCGGCGCCGGCACACCGGGTTCTAGTCCCGGTCGGGGCGCCGGATTCTGTCCCGGTTGCCCCTCTTCCAGGCCAGCTCTCTGCTGTGGCCAGGGAGTGCAGTGGAGGATGGCCCAGGTGCTTGGGCCCTGCACCCCATGGGAGACCAGGAAAAGCACCTGGCTCCTGGCTCCTGCCATCGGATCAGCGCGGTGCTCCGGCTGCAGCGCGCCAGCCGCGGCGGCCATTGGAGGGTGAACCAACGGCAAAAGGAAGACCTTTCTCTCTGTCTCATTCTCTCACTGTCCACTCTGCCTGTAAAAAAAAAAAAAAAAATGTAGAGTGTGGGCAACTAACATAACCTTACAGGAAAGAAATCTGGCAGCCACTGTCTTAACCAGCAGAGGCAATCCTTCTGTCTCTCTCTCCACTTGGATGACTGACTGCTGAAACTATAGAGATGACATCTTAGTTCTGTGGAGGCTGCAGAGAGATTGAAACACTTAATCTGCAGATTCTATGTTAATTATCTCAATATTTGATCCAAATATTCAGCAAAATTTAAAAATACATATACCATAATCTCTGTAATTGGACCCCAGTATTCCAGTTTAGGGGAATTGTATTATAAGAAGAGAGCACTGATATAAATGTATATGTTCCAGATGTGCCCATATAACATGGTATTTCATAGTTTAAATAGTTCATAAACAGCACTTTTACAAAGGTGCAATATTCTTAATGTCCAGAACTACTTCAATGTTACGTTTTAAAAATTTATTTAAAAGGCAGAGGTTCACACAAAGTGGTAAAAATCATCCACCCATCTGCTGGTTCACTCTCCTGTTGCCCACAGCAGCCAGGGCTGGGCCAGACCAAAGCCGGGAGCCATTAACACAACCTGGGTCTCCCTGGTGAGGGACAGGGATCCGTGTACTTGAGCCATCACCTGCTGTTTGCAGAGTGCACGTTAGCAGCAATCGGGAGCAGAGCCGTGACTCGGACCCAGGCACTCCACCATGGGATGTGGACGTCCAAAGTGGCATCTTAACCACTGTGCCAAATACCTGCCCATGTAACTAAATTTAAATTCAAACTTTAAGTCTCCAGTTTGCTTTCTGGAAGGTAACTTGACTAAGACCCTTTCAGAGAAATTCAGTCCAATGAAGCAACTAAAACCATTCAGTGCATATGATTACATGGTATGAGTCTCGGTTGGTGAGGTTTTTAGCTGAGTTTCAAAGAAAGAGATAGGACTAGGGTCAAGAAAGCAGGCAGATGTGAATGAGTTCATGTGTGTGCTGTGTGAGGAAACAGGAGAGACAAATCCCAATATAAAACAACTACTCCTGAAATTGAACCAGGATTATCCCACCTCACCAAGATAACTCACTCCTCCGCAGCTGGCTTTGAATACCCTAGCCTTATTCTTATTGCTGTAGTGATTTTGACTTTTCCAAATGGGTTAGAAGAGACAAGCAGGCACTATTAGCCTGTGGCTGCTGGGAGACACATGATGTCCACTTGATGGCCCAGGGGAGGTA